GGGCTGCGGGGCTCCCCCCGGGGATACCGGCTCTTCCCGGGCAGTTCCGGGGCCTGGCCAGGGTTGAGGGCGGAGAGTCACGGGCGCAGCCCCGGTGTGAGGCCCTCCTGGGCCTCCTGGTTCTTCTGCCCCCTCAGATGGGGCCGGGCTGGGCTGCTTGCCCTCCCTGCTGGGGATGAGCCCGCCGGCCCCGCGGAAGGACGGGGAGGGTGGGACGGGGGGGACTCCATCACCCTGCCCAGGGCTAAGTGGGGGGACAGGTGCCTCCCCAGTTGCTCATGCTGGAGAAATGACTCTGGGGATCTCCCAGCCCCTGGAGCTTGACCGCTAGCGCTGGGATTTCTTGGAGCCCAGTCACCTGCTCTGCAGGCCGGTCCCTCTGCCCAGCTCTCCGTGGGTCTCTGTGCCCCCGGGTGATGGATCCCTGCGGTTTGCCTTTGTGCCCGCTGGCCGTGGAACTACAGGCAGGTCTTAATTTTCTCTGTGCTGATGCAGCTAGACAAGACCTGAATCCTTAACGGCAGGGCTGGCCGTCCCTGGCAGTAATGCACCGGTTATCTCTCGGTAATCTCTTACTGGTTATCTCTCAGTAATGCACCGGTTATCTCCTGGCAGGAGGCACCGGGCATGCCGGTGTGAGGCAGAGATGTGAGCAGAGGATAACAGGGGCCTGTCTGGGCCTGTCTTGCCTTCAAGTGGGAGATTAAGCACCTTGCTGCCCACACAGAGTGTGGCTCCCCACCGCCAGCTCTCCACGTCTGTCTGTTTGATGTAACGAAGGGCCCAGGTCTTGGCCGAGGCGTAGTCGTTTGATACCGATCTAAGAGTTGCCCTGTTTAACTGCAGAGAGAGGCTCCTGGGCAAAAATGCAGTGGGTCTTGCCCTGCTGAAAGGCTGAGGGACTGTGTTGTGGGACCTCAGGCTTGGGAGGTGTTAGGTGGGGAGAGCTCAGAGGCTGCTGGCACAAGGGGGGATCTCAGCAGGGGCTGTGGACAGGAGGATGTCTCCAGGCCCCCACCCAGCAGTGGCATCTTGCGCTCTGGTGCATCCCTGCCTGCTGCCAGTGTCACGGCTCAGAGTTGAGGCAGCCTGTGTGACATGCCAGGGCACGGTGACCATGTGGCACTGCCTTGGCTCTCACCCTGCCAGCATCTCCTACCAAATCCACAGAGGCTCCCCGCACCTGGGGGAACTGCACGGAGCAGAGGGAGAGCCACAAGTGTGGCTTCTGGCCCCACCAAATGTGGCAGGGCCTACTCAGGGCTGCCAGCTTTCGAGTAGTGAATCCACCTTCAAGAGGGAAAGGGAAATGACATGAGTGTTTCCTTCCCCTTCGGCCTGTGTCCATGCCAGGAAGGACCAGTTTTATTTAGGAGCCCTTGAACTGTGAAGCTCATGTCACTGTCACTTTCCTCTGCCCAATCCTGTTGCCCAAAGAGCCTTTGCTAGATCATGGTCTCCCGTGAGTCTCAGAGTCACATCTGAGGTGTGTTTGGCATGGGGACAGAGGTGCTGGTTTTGGGGGACAGGTACCAGAGACTGAGTTCCTGTCCACAGGGCATGGGGTGGGGATCTGGGCACTCCTGGCAGCAGCAACAGCCCTTGTTCTGCCCTCTCCAGCCTGGGCAGGGCATGCCTGCCTTGTTCTGACCTCATCCCTGACCCGCTCTGGCGGTGTCTCCAGCAGAGCCAGGCCAGGAAACTGCCCACCGACAGGAGGGTTTGCAAACATGAGCAGAGCTCAAAGGACCGAGTTTCCTGTCCCTGTTCCTGTCTGAGCTGTGTTGGGGAGCATGTAAAGCTGCGCTCTCTCACCAGCCGTGCTGGCTGTCCCAGAGACAGGTGTGCAGGAGAGCTGGGTTATGGGGAGAAAGGGATCCTGGGGGTAAGGAGAAATTTAGAGCTGGGTTTTGCCAGGCTGGGAGTGAGGGGCTGAGCCAGTCCTGCCCGGCATCACCCTGGTGCCTGCCAAACATTTGTACGAGGTCTCTTGCCATGACTCTGCTCCCATGTTTGTGAAGTGACTTTATCCTGCGTCTCACGCTGCTGGGGCGCGTTTGTGCCCCTGGCTGATGGGCAGGATGTGGCTCACAGGTGGGAATGGCCGGGCTCTCAGCTGGCACTAAGCGATGCCGTGCTGGAGGCTTAATTGGAGGCTATCTCCGAGGTCTGGTAAAGTTACATCTGTGGGAGCTCTGGGCTGTTGGGTTACGTCCTCGCTGCCAGGAGGAGTGATGACTCAGGGACCTCATGCAGGAAACTGGGGGCTGCTAACGCATCCCCCGCCCATGGGTTCGTTTATCGCTAGGCCCAGTGTGCACGGGTTGATGGCCGTGGTTTCTCTCTATCCCCAGGCCACGATGCTGCGTCTGGCTGCTTTTGCAGCGCTGCTGCTGTTCTTCAGGGTCAGTCTGGAGCTGTCCTGGGCCCAGGCCATCCCTGCTCTCTTCATCTTCTACCTGGGATCCGGTGGATGGGACTTCTTCCTCATATTCATCAAGACAATACGAAGGGATGTCACGTAGGTGTCCTGTCTGGGATGGTCCAACCACCCACCTTCCCCCTGGCCCACTGCTCTGCCCTGGTGCACGTGTGAGCCCCCAGCAACTTGCACAGCCCTGGGTTTCTGTTGGCACCTGGCCCAGCTGGAAGGAGATCTCCCTCTGCCGCGCCCGAGTGGCTCCAAACTCTTGGGCAAAGTTTTCACAGGAAAGATAGATTTCAGCTGAGCTCTGAAGTCTAGTGACTGTCCTTGTACTTCACCCTGTCCCTGAAGCTGCTGGCGTGGCACCAGGTGCCTGTGCAGGGTCGGTTCTGAGTTGGTACCAGGCTGTGCCAGCTCCTGGCAAGGATTTGTGGGGAGGGAGTGGTGACACCTCTTGGAGAGCAGCTGAGGCTCAAAGATGCCCCTTTGACCAGGGACATCCCTGTCTGCAGCCTTCCAACACATCTCTCCCTGGCCTCTGTCAGTTCCTGACTATAAGCATCTTTGCATATGAGCTCTGCCTATGTCCACACTGCTCAAGGGAGCACCCAGAGCTGCTGCTGACCTAGAGTAGGGCCTGGAGTAGTGCTGGGCTAGGAAGGAAGCTACTAGGAAGTTCCTCATGCTGTGCTGGCTTTGCTGGAGGAAGTGGTTATGCTGGGGTCACTGAGCAGCTGCCCTCTTGCTCATCTTCCTTTGGCAGCACGGGGCTGGTCCTGTTGCGGGTGAAGTGGCAGGTATGGAGGCACGTGAGGGAGAAGAACACAATTGCCAAGATCTTTCAGAAGACCGCGAGCAGGTATCCAGAGAAGACAGCACTGATCTTCCAAGGCACGGGCGAGAGCTGGACCTTCCGGCAGCTGGATGAGTACTCCAATCAGGTGGCCAATTTTTTCTACGGCCAAGGCTTCCGCTCTGGTGACGTGG